AAAGAGCTTCGCGAGATGGGCGACTACAGGACGGCGGGGGGCAAGGGAAAAAGCAGCCAGAGTTCCTCAAGGCGCTGGGCTTCACGGACAGGTGGAGCGACAACATGCAGCTGTTCAGCGCATGCAGGAGGAGCACTGGGCGGGGCGGCAAGAGGGGGGGGCCTGCTCGCGCGGGCCCACCTTTCCGAACGAATCGTGGCGGAGAGGCCCCAGTCCCAACTCGAGAGGTGACAAGTGGCAGTTCAGGCGCAAGGTGGACCGGTCGCAGCTCGCCAGGGCGCAGGAGAGCCACCCAGAGGACGTGCTCTTGAAGGCGTGCGTGGACAAGCTGAAGAGAACTTTCGGGGCCGAGTGCGACGGATGGCCAGAGATCGGGCGCGGGTGCAAGTTCCTCTCGTTCGAGAGTGGGCCGCCGATGGTGGCGGGGCTCAAGGTGGGAAACGCGCGGGAAGCCTTCGCTGCGGAGAGGCTACCGCGGCAACTTGATTGCGCAATCAAAGAGTGCCGCGACCAGTTCTTCGACGCGGCCCAGAAGATGAGCCCAGAGCAGCTATTCGAGCTGACCCCGGTGTCCTTCCCGATGACGCACAAGACCGAAGGTTGCGACTTCGTCGCGAGATACCCAGTGGACCAATGGGAGACGCCAGAGGGGGGGGCCCTACTCTGCAGAGCTGGCGCGAACTGCCGCTGAAGATAGCGAAGAACGACGAAGAGAACCTCCGCGCAGTAATGGAGGTCGCCGTTGAGGAGATGAACAACGAAGACAACGTGGACCCAGAGGAAGAGGCTGAACGAGCAACAGAAGCGAAGAGACAGCACCCAGACCATGCTGGATGGCACCGAGACCTTAGCGGAAAAGTTCGGCTACCCCAAGTCGGAGGAGACGATTGCGGCCATCTCATCCAGCGGCCACCAGTGAGCGCAACCACTGGAGTGCTGCTCTAGGCAAGCTGCGAGCTGGCCGTGCCCGAAGACAATCAGGAGGAGCAAAAGCGAGGCTTCTCGGGGCGCATCTCATGACAGACAGCACGGGCACAACAGAGCACCTGCACCGCCATCGCAATCGGAAGCATTCTTTGGAGCACGGACATGTGCATTATTGCAGGGTGTCGACGGAGAAAAGTGATCACCAGCAGCCCACCAATGTGCTCCTCATTGGCCTCACCTTCTACCGTGACTGCCAGCGTGCTTTATCTCGCATGCACTCTCGAGGGGGAACGATGGGTCACCCCAACAGGGTACCAGAGTACAGGTGTGACAACACATGGGACGTCTCTCGGATCGACCGAGAGGTGAGCCGAGCGGGAGAGGGGAGCACGGAATTCAAACAGTAGAATACCCCCCCCCCCCCCCCCCAGGAACAGTTTGGGGTCTCGGGCCTTTTGTCTCTCCCCCCTTTCTTCCTTTTGTGTTCGTGTCGTCGGTTCCTCCCCCCCTGGCTTGGGCGCCCTGCTAAGCCCGCGCGCCCCCTCCCCTAGGGCACGCGCAAGGGCCAGCGCCCCCCCCCCCCTCCGCACTGACCCGAGGGGACTCGTGATGTAAGCTGGCGAGCCTCTCTTACGGAGTCAATTCGGATCTCGGCGTTTGAGCTACGTGGCATGCCCCCTGTCGGCCCTAGCAGTGCTGTCGCACAACAATTCGCAGGGGATGTTGACAGAAGCGCGTAGGTCACCTGACCAGGTGCTCTGACGTTCTACCCCTTTTTATGCGGATGTCCTTGTCCTTGTCCTCCTTTTCTTCCTCCTAGTCGTCCTCCTTTTCTTTCTCCTCGTCCTCCTCCTCGTTATCCTCATCCTCCTCCTTTTCCTTCACCGTGCGCGTGTAACGTTCATCGTCTATTTTCCTGGCCGGGCCCCCCCGCTTTTTGTGGCTCGGCTCGGGGTTCCGTGGGTCATTCCGCCTGCCTTGCCTTTGTTTTCTGTTCTCCCGCCTCCATCGCTCGTTTTCGTTCCTTTGGTTTCCACCCATCACATCGCGTTTTTGTGTCGTTTGTTGCCGCGTTTGGCGGGCTGTGGTGTGTTCGGTTTGCTGGGGATGCTGCTTGGGCCCGTTTCTCGCAGCCCCGTTTGAAGAGCGCTGCCAAAACATCCCAGCCGCCTGGAGGGCGTATGTCGCACCAGCATCGCTCCAGAGGGCGCCGCCTCCCTTTCCCCCCTCCTCGTCCTCTTCGTCAGCTTTGTCCCGTACATGCAAGCCGAATTTCGTTATTTGTTTGTGCGTGCGGACGCGCCGAGGAGTTGAGGTTGGGACTGCCGGTTTCCCTGAATTCGCGCCGCGACAATGGTAGTCAAGACCGGTTTTTGTTTTGGGCGCCGGCTCTGTGAGTTTCCCCCCTCCTTCCCTCCTCCGCCCCCTTCGCCAGCTCCCCACCATGCGTGGATGGCGTTCTGTATCGCAGTTCGTTCATTGGGCATGCGGCATATCCAGTTTACTTGTGAAGTGACGCGTCGCTGCTTTACCGCTCATCTGGCGGCGGCAGATGGGACCTGTCGGCGGTGTGAACGGGCAGAGGCTGTCCCCGCAGGCTTGGAGGGCCTTGGTCAGCGCTGCTGCAAGACCCTGGGTAGTTGGATGGCGCGATCCGCTCGCCCTTGCGTTTTTCGGCCGTCCGCATTCTCCCCCGGGAGCCCACCGAAACCTTTACTTTTGTACAGCCCACATTCCATATAGAGGCTGATTGGTACATGCGGCCAGTCCTTCAATGTGTTCATTCCCAGTCCCTCCCCCCCCCGGGCTGCCGCTCTTGCAGTTGTGTTTGATGGTGTGATGTTGGCCGTTTTTGCCCCATGGGGTTCTCGCAACGTGGTTATTCCCAATCCCGCCTGACCCCCTCTCGTCGGTTTCTTCCCTCCTCCTGTATTGGATGTATAGCTTCTGGGCATTTTGGCCATAGAGGTGATATGAATCATCACTGTTGGCACTTCCTTCCATCTCTGGCTGCGCGTGTCGGTTCGCATATTGCAGGTTGGTGGTCGCGCTATTCCTGGCTCTCGTTTGGCTCCCCTCCTCCGTCCTCCCTCCTTCCCTCCCTCTCCTCCGCGCCACCGTTGCAGCAAAAGATGGTTCAACCTACAATTATGATTAAGCTGAGTCGGCATAGAAGCTGCAGGGTAATCCGTAGCATCCGCCTCAGCTTGTTGTGCCTGTCCTTCTCTCCTCCGCTCCCCGCTGGGATACTCGGCCGGGCCGCTCCCAAGCTGCAGGAAGTGTTGCGTGTCGACTCTGTTGAGTCGCGTTTGAGTCAGGGGCATTCCGCTCGCGGACTTAAGAGGCCACATCGGTCGACCTTCTTCTCTGATGAGACATGTGGTATGCTTTTTCAGGGGCACCAGTGGTAAGGACTTCTCAGGCGAAACGCCCAGCCCGCCCTTTGAACCCGCCCCGAGGTGCGACAGGGAGGGTTTATTCATATAAGGACATGGGATTGAGGAGGAGGAGGAGGAGGAGGAAAAAGAGGTGGAGGAGGAGGAGGAGGGGGAGGCGGAGGCGGAGTCGGAGGCGGAGGAGGCGAACTCGGAGGCGGAGGCGGTGGAGCCCGTGAAAATTTTGTAATTTTTGAGATATATACATATACACACAACGAATGTGCGCGGCGCCAGCGCTGGGACGAGAGCCACATTTTGCAAACCACCCGCCCTCAGGCCGTGAAGGTCCTGCATTTTTCGAATGAGTGTGCGCGGCGTTGAGGCGAGAGCCACATTTTCAAAACTACCCGCCTTCCATGTGTGAAATCCCACCAGCCCTCTGGGCGTCGGTGGTTTAGAGCGTTTCCTCTTCCACCCCTCTTTCTTCCCATTCAGGGAGGGGTTTACCCCTCCCCCTACCCCCTCCCCACTGACCTGGACAGGGGGTTCCGCGGCGCGTTGGAGCGCCCAAGATGGCCCAAGACGGCTCCAAGAGGGCCTCAGGGAGCTCAAGATGACCTCCAAGATGGCTCAAGATAGCGCAAGATGCCTCAAGATGGTCCCCATGATGTTCCAAGACGTTCCAAGAACTCTCCAAGACGGCTCCAAGTGCCCACAAGAGCATCATTAGGATGCATCCAAGAGGCCAAAATGCTTCAAAACCCTCGGGAAAATCACTGTTTTTGGTGTTTTCGCTTTTTCGCTTGCGATGCACATCCGAGGCGTCAAGATGGCTCCAAGATGGCTCGAGATAGCTTCAAGAAGGGCCCAAGAAAGCCCCATGACGGCGCCAAGAGCGCCGAAGAGCGCTCCAAGAGCGGTCCCAGAGCGGTACAGGAGACGATTTTTGGAGTTCCTGGGGGGGGGCTCTAATTAAGGAACCCCACTTCCTTGACCGATGTCCTCCAAGATTGCCCCAAGAGCGCCCCAGCAGGGCCTTCAAGGGCGCCCAGACGGGTCCAAGAGGCCCGCAGGAGGCCCCCAAGAGACCCCCAAGAGGCCCCACGACACCCTTTTGGCCCCATTTTGGCCTCCTGAGGGGGCAAAGATGGCCCCAAGAAGCGCCCAGGAGGCCCCCAAAGGCCCCAAGATGGCCCCAAGAGGCCCCAAGAGGCCCCCAGGAGGCCCCAAAGAGGATCCCGAACGGCCCACAGAGGCCCCTCCGAGGCACCCAAGACGCCGAAAAGCCCCTCAGGACGACCCTCTACTCGCCTGGGCGTCGTTTCTGGACGGGCTGGTGGGGATACGCGAAGCGTCTAGAATTGTTGTCCATGTGTAAGTGTCAGGGTCATACATGGTGAGGAAGTCTCCGGCCTAACGCCCGGCCCGCCCTTTCGACCGGCATCGGGGTGCGACATAGAGAAGTTATCTATAAGGAAAAGGAGTGGAGGAGAAGGAGGATGGGGTGAGGAGGAGGAGCTGGAGGCAGATGCGGAGGCGGAGGAGGAGGAGGAGGAGGAGGAGGAGGAGGAGGACGAAGGCATCGAGGAGGAGCAGGAGGCGCATGGATGAGAAGGAAGACGAAGTTGCAGACGGGAGGCACTCACCTCCGTTCCTCCCCCCCCGTGCCCTTGCCCTCCTGGGCCCTCCACGGAGGCCGCCGTGGAGCACGGCAAGCAGCTGCAGGAGAGCAACCAGCGTCTCCAGCAGGCGCGCCGCGCGGCCTGCGGCCTGGGCTCCGTGAGTGGGAGGTGGCAGTGCTCACTTCGACCCCTCCGGTTCGATTTGATTCGATTTCGATGGCTTCCGATTCCGATTGATTCGACTCGGGATTCCGATGTCTCAATGGAGGCCTTATTGGCTTGCCGATTTCCGCCGATTCGACTTCTCCCGCCTTGGCTGCCGATTTCCGCCCGGGGGGGGAGGCCGCAGCCCCGCCAGGCGCCTCTGCCTTCGGCCAGCTCTTGGCGAACACCGCAATGCCTGTGTGCACCACAGCAGCCGTTTGCACCACGCACATCGCTTGTGTGCCCCACAGGCTTCCTCCTCCTCCTCCGCGGCCACCATGTTCCACCATCACCAGTGTGCCAATACCGCGGCGCGCACCGCCGGCCGTTGAACGAGTTGGCGACCGCGCTACGGACCAAAACAAAGTGCATCACGGTACCTGTGCACACCACATCGCCTGAGTGCGCCACAGTTGCGGCTTCAGCACCTTGTGTACGGCAGCGCCAGTGCACCACCGTGCCTGTGTACATCGGCACCCCGCCAGGCTCGGAGGCCGCATGCGCCAAGATCTTGCCCAGGATGGTCCAGTGGAGGCCTGGCGGAGTCGTGTGCAGTTCCCCTTCCTCCTCATGGGGTGCCCCCTCTTCTCAGGCGGCATTTTGTCCCAGGATGGGGCTCCGATGAGATGCGTGCCATCGGGTCTCCCAGCAGATGTGCGACATGCCGTCGCCCGCCCGGGACATTTTCGCTACGGCCCCCTGAGTGGCCCCCCCCTTCTCTGCCTGGGCGGCTGCCCTCCGCTCCTGTCCTTCTTCCCGTCGAAGTGAGGAGCGTGGAAGGAAGCGATTCGGTGCTCCTCCCGGTTGCTTCCTCGGGGCTCCGGCGGGGAGCTGCGGGCCGCCTTGGGACCGTCAGGAAAGAACCTCTCTTCCTTCCTTCCTCATGTTTCCTATGCTGCATGGGGAATGCATGTCAGAGCCGCGTCTCCCCTGCTCCGCCTCCCCTGGCAGCGGATGCAGATACGATGCATCTTCCCCCCCTTCGATGTCAGCCACGCGCAGAGGGGGTGGGGGGAGGGGGGAGGGCTTCTTAGAAGCACCCCTGCTTCTTAGAAGGCGCATGCCTTATATCTACAGATGCAGGGCCAGCGACTTCGAAGAAGCAGCCTCCTTCTACGTAAGAAGCCTTCCCCCCTCCCCCTACCCCCTTGTGCGCGCCGCCCACGATGGCCTTCCCGTGCAGGAGAGCCACCGCACGAGCCGCATTGCAGGGCGGGTCGGCAATACCCCCCCCGCTCCCCTCGGGGCCCCGAGGGCCCCTCTGGACGTCTGCGACCCCCCCAGGGCGTGGCCGCTCTGGGATCTGCGCCCTGCCTCCAGGGGGTGCGCTCTGCCTCAGGCTCGGGCCAGAGCTCGGGCCCTGGCTCGGGTCCCAGGCTCGGGCTTCGGGCTCGGGCCCCGGCGTGGACCCGGGCCAGGCCCGGGCTCGGGGGGGGGGGAGAGGCGCTGGCGGCGCTCCAGGCAGCCTGGCGACGCGCGCCGAGAAAGGTTATGGTAGTGCGTATTCTTCGTGGCGGGCGCTTTCTGGCCGTACCGCTGAGCGGTAACCGCTCGGGAAACGATGTATATACCACAAGACGGTTGTATTCGGTGTTCGGGTCGGGCGCGCCTCAGGGCTCTTGTCACCGCGGCTCGACGGAGATCGACCAGACTTGTCAGGACACAGCGCTTCTCAGGGGAGGCCCAACGTACCCCAGAACAGACAGAGATGGAGCCTCAGGGCTCACCTCGGCTCACCTTGGCTCGCCCAACGGCTGCGTGTTGGCGCCCACCGCGGCTGGAACCATGGCCGCTGCGACACCTCCCTTGGAGTACGTCGTCCTGGGGGTACGTTTGGCCCTTCCCAAACTTCGAGCGGCTGTCCTGACAAATTGGGACGGGCTTCCTGGTGATTAGCGAGCTGGGCGGATCCTCTTCGCGCTGCGTGTGGATCCTGTCTTCCCTCCTCGGCCTTTCTCCCCCGCCGCAGGCCTCCGCGGTGGCCGGCTGCGCCCCGCAGCCTGCCCTTCTGAGCTGTGCACGGGCAGCCCGCCTGGGGGGAGCCCCAGGGGACTCCTTGGGCCACTGTGGGGCCTTGTGTACGTTAGGAGGCGGCCATCTTTGGCCCTCGGCGCCGTCTCGCCCTCCCTGGGAGCAGCATCGAGGCCATCTCTCTTGACCCCCCCCCAGGGATTAAGGACGGAGGGAGGCGGCCGCTGGGCGACCTACTCGCGCCGACGCCTCCGAGGGCTCACAGGGGCCCTTCGTGCGCGATCCAATGTTCGCAACAAGGACGATGCTTCTGTGGTCTGACGCGCGGGTGGCCCGACCTGCTGGCGATCATCTTTCCATCCTGGACCCAGTGGCATTTCAAGCCTTTCCTCCTCCCGCCCTCCCCCACTCCCTACCTCCCTCCTCCCTTGTCCCTCCGTCGCGTTCCCCCAGTTCCCCGCATATCCATGATCGTGTCTCCACTCCTTCACTACAGAGGTGCCCCTCCAGAACTGATCGAGGCAGGATGGTAATCTTCGACTCGTTGCAGGCCTGCATATTCCAGCACTTCCATTGATTCAGTTTCAGAAGTGGAGAGTGATGATGAAGTCAAACGGTTGAGCATTCAGGAGTTATCAGCCTGACGATGCCAAAACCGAGTTCGAGAGAGTAGCATGGTCCAGATGTTTGAAGTACACTGAAACACTACGACGAGATCTAGTGCCAATGCCGAGGCATGACAGACGAGTTCGAAAAAACACTGGAGCGGCGCTGCGGCTCAATCCATCTGCGTGCGCTTGCCAACCACAGTTTCCATTCATATACATGCCCTCTTCACTTCCTCTCTGCCCTATCTGCTGACATCATGCTTGGCCCTGCACCCAAGATCAACATTTGCACCTGCGTCCTTTCAATGCCATGTTCTCTGCCGGCCAACCCACCGACCATCCCTCACTCATTCACGCGAGTGCCCAAGGAGAGCGACTCGTGGGCGCAGCGGTACAGCGAGGCGAGCAAGGAGTGGGAAGAGCCCCGCTTGCGACGAGCAGGAGGATGTCGGACAGCGTATATTGAAAGAGAGTGCGAGGGGATGAAGAGCAACGAGTTGTTTTTTTTCCCGTGAGCCTCCATCCGCACTGACGGCGCTCGTGTACCGATGGAGGCTATCCAGGTCGAACATCCCTTGAGTGCAAGGGGATGCTTCTGCATTGGAGGGTGGGGTGAGAAATCATGTGTTCGAATTTCGCACTTGCAGGCTGCGTAATCCATGTACGTTCGTCGTGCGCATAGAGGCTGGAAAGCGAAGGCCCGGTGCAATAGTAGTTGGCTTGGAGCTCAATTTCAGGCGACCACCGTGGTCGTGTGTGGATGAGTTCAGCGTTCTGCGCGCAGCACACGTCTTGGCGTACCACGGCCGTGGGCGGGTTCCTTTTCCGATTGGGACACCATATTTGTTTAGTCGCTTTGATGGCCAGGGGGCGAATGCTACCCAAACAAATGCCAACCAGGCTTGTCCAGATCAATCGATACTTGCTTGACTAAACCGCCCGCTCGTTCCTGTTGGTTCGAAGCTCCTGTATGCTCCACCCACATTTACAGCATTCCCTTCCAGGTGGGTTTCATTTGCGTCTCTCCAGAGTGGTCCTTCTCCGCGGTAGATGGGGGACCCGATACCCGAAGTCTATGGGGGCGAGTTTGCCCTGATTCTTCGGGTAGACTGTCTCATCCTACAGCCTGTTTAAGCGCAGATTTTAGGAGTGAGGGGGCAGGGATGGAAAGTTGAGGGGAGAATGGCAAGGTCGGTGAGAAAGGGGAGGGGATGAGGGGGATGTGAGGGGGGGTTACGAAAGGGTGGAAGGGTGTGAACATGTGTGCGCCCGCGCCCTCTCACCGCTAATGCGCATCGTGGCCGCTGCTGTTTACAGGGCCCTTGAGCCACAGCGCCAGATACAGTTATATACATAATCCGTAAGGGCTTCGCCCCCTGCCGCCGGCCCCCTCTCTCGGATAATGGGCCATGGAAGAGATAAGTCATGAGGCTTTGGCGCTGTCGTGCAGCAGTATCGGAACTTAATGCGAGGCCGATTCGCAATCGGCAAAACCAACTGATCACAAGAGGGGTTACCACACAGGGCGATTGGTAAGACGTGTATGGTTTACGAGCTTGGTTACCACACCTTGGGATTAAAGGGCAGAGGGAGCACTCGCAGTTTGGGTTACCACGCCTTGCGATGGATGTGCGTGAGGGGTGGCACCGAATTTCAAAATGTGGTTTCCCATGTGTTTTTGGACCCTGACCCCGCGGATCTGCGTGAGGGGTGGCACCGAATTTCAGAAATGTGGCAAATCCCTGTGTTTTTGGACCCTGACCCCGCGGATCTGCGTGAGGGGTGGCACCGAATTTCAGAAATGTGGCAAATCCCTTGTGTTTTTGGACCCTGACCCCGCGGATCTGCGTGAGGGGTGGCACCGAATTTCAGAAATGTGGCAAATCCCCTGTGTTTTTGGACCCTGACCCCGCGGATCTGCGTGAGGGGTGGCACCGAATTTCAGAAATGTGGCAAATCCCATGTGTTTTTGGACCCTGACCCCGCGGATCTGCGTGAGGGGTGGCACCGAATTTCAGAAATGTGGCAAATCCCGTGTGTTTTTGGACCCTGACCCCGCGGATCTGCGTGAGGGGTGTCGATTTCGAGCCCCTCCAGCAATTCAGACAACGCGCCCAGGTGAGGCTAAAAATCCTGTTTGGGCCTCCCCCCCCTCGCGCGGTCAATCAACTAGTTACAGTAACCAGCAAGAAGTCAACTAGTTACAGTAACCAGCAAGAAGCAGAACTGTAACACTGGAAACTACAACCTACGACTGGTACAGGAAACTGCGAATCACGGGCCTACAGCCTGGTGGCCCCACAAGGGGGCCGGCGGATATACTCACACAGCTCAGCACACGATCCAAAGATAATCCAGACTGTCGCACCATAGCATGGCTGGTGACGAGAAGCACCGCGGTGCCTCACACGAGCTGTCCATAGTTTCGAGTGTCAGCCTGCCGGGGGGAGCAGGACTGGCAGAGGGGGAGGAGAAGGAAATTGAATCAGTGCGGTGCTTTGCCCGCGCTTTGCCCACGGCATAGATGGCCCTCACTACGCCCCAATCGGGCGTGCCAGAGCCAGAGCCAGAAAGAGGGGGGGGACGGGGAACAGTTGTTGACAGTGGGGAGGGGGAGGCGAATATGAGCATCCGCGGACGGCCTGTATGCACCGCACCGCGTTGGCCGTTGGCGTCTCCCGTTGCGTCGTCAATCCTCGACCCGGGAATGGTACGGCATAGAGTTCATTCGGCCTTCAGGGCCGTCAAACCATGGAGCCTGGAGAGAACTCGAGCGCGGTACGGCTCATGGGCGGCGTGCTCGTAGAGTGGGGGTTGGGGGGGGGGCGACATGGGGCGAGGGCAGGAGAGACCGGGGTGGCAGGCGAGGTAGGGCAGGGGATGGGGGTGGGCGGCGGCGTGGACGCGGCCAGTTCGGAGAATCACGCGCCGCCGCCTCTCGGCCCGCCCCGCACCGCAGGCCGAGCGCCGGTTGCGGGAGCTGGGTTGCTCCGCGGCGCCCTCGCCGAGGCCTTCCCACGGGGAGGGAGGGAGGGAGGGAGGAGCGCACGACCCTGAAGGGTACGACCGCGTTCGCATGCAACAGAAAGAGAAAAGGAACCATATAGGCAGGGACGGGAAGGTCGCGCTCATCCTCGACGACCTCGCCCTTCCTTCGCCTTCTCGGCCGCCCTCCCCAGCTTCACGGCCTCGTCCTGCGTGAGGACGCACAGCGCGAGGCCGCGCGTCATGTCCCCCGCTGGGCTCTCAGCGTACGACGAAGGCACGGGGACCCGAATAGGTGTCGGGGGCCCCTTGGGGCCTTGGGACCAGGCAGCGAAGAACGGGGCCCGATCCTCTCTGACTTCGAGGGAGGGGGGCCCCGCATAGGCCATGCGCCACTCAGACGGGTTCCTGTGGGCAGGATCGACACCATATCTAAATCTGCTCAGATTAAATTCATATTGCTCCTCTGGTCGGAGCTTGACGGCTTGCATTCATTACGGAGGTTGCTTCGCTTAGGTTGTGAGTGTGTCATAGAGTTGCAGCGCGTGCAAAACAACATTGAATCATGAAATGTCTGAGCGTCATCTTCGTATATGTCCCCCTGCTCGAGCAAGTGTTCTCTCTGACGCACCGTAAGAACCTCTGGTGGGACCTCGGCTGCCCTGAGGACCCAGGGGACCCAGGGGAAGCAAGTGAGCGGCCCCATCCTGGGCTTCGTCCCTGCGGCTTGCAACCCCCGCGCCTCTTCAAGGAAGGGGGAGGCCAGGGATGGGGTCGAGAAGGATGTAGCCTAGCCGTTTCAACTCAGAGTGGTCCCACATCGCCAGCTCCCTGCACTCGGCTTGTTGAGTGGCACAACATGTGGCTGACCTGCGCACGCACAAAGAGTCGGTCCTCGTGGCTAAGACGGAATGGCTCAGTTTCTTTCTTCGCTATTTTGTCCGCCTCCGAGTTCCCAGACCGCTGCACTTCAGTGATCTTCCATCTCGCACATGTTTGCTCGAGGTGTGCGATGGTATCTTAAACAGTGACGTCTTTCCAGGCGGTTTCCCAGCCCAGCCCACCAAGTGGGCCCTAGCCGATTTCGCGCTGGCTGCCCCAGGAATGTTCATGAGACACCCCACTTTGGCCACACAGTCCACAAGCAGAGACACAATCGGACCCAGGACCGCCCTGCGAGGTAACATCAGTACTGCGAAATCTTCCCCGTCGTGGGCCAGTTGATATGGTGCTCTGCTGCGGGGACTACTCCAAACATTGCTGCCAACGTGCGCCCTTGAGGGTCCAGCATCAGTACAGACCATCGAGCAGTTCTTAGGCCTGACAAAGCCTCCTCGAACCCCGACCCGTCCGTGAATACATGAGCCCCTTCGTGAACAGCCGGATGTCTGCCAGGGCCGCACTGACCTCCGCATCCGTTTGTTCGAGCTCTGTTTGGAGACTACCATCGAAACCACCAATTCCACCTGCGCACGACGCCACTCCTTCAGCTTCGTAAACTCAGCGTCCAGCTTCCTCTCGAGAGATGCTTGCGTCTGTTCCGCTTGTTGCTACATTTGTCGAGCCGAAGAGGTTTTAGGTTCTCATGCAGTTGACCATGCCGCCAGTGCGCTGTATTTTTTAGATCCCTGCTCGTCACCAGCTGCCGCCGCCAGTGTCGCCGACTCCTAAGCTTTGTCCGCAGGCATATTGACCGCAGGTCCAGGCGGCAGAGCAGATCCTCCAGTTGCTCCGAGCTTGGGCCAACATGTTCCGTTATCTTCACGCGTTCCATTATAATTTCCTGTCTTCCGTCCTTTTTCCCCGCCAGTTCTACGTCCCCGCAACTCCGAGAAATTTGGAATCTATCTCGATGGAAGCTCGCATGAAGGCCGAGCCGCAGTGATTACAACCAACCTTTCGTGCTTCTCTTGCATCCGCAGCAGCTCCTCCCGCTGCTTTGTCTTTGGCGCTGTCTAAGTGTAGCTTTGAGATTTTCCCCACCTCCGTCGTCGTGCTTCAACCCAAGGCGAAACCGTAGTCCAACGAGTATAATCACCCGCATCACGACCACTCCCACCTATAATGAATATGTTGCCCTTCGAGTGAGGGCGCTCGCTGGGGTCCGAACCAAACTTACCCGCAACAGCAATGCCGTTCTGAAGATCGTTGCTACAAGCCTTAAGCCTGAGGCCAGAGGGAGGGAGGGGGAGGGAGGAGGAGGGTATGAGGAGGGGGCCAGGAGGAGGGAGGGAGGGAGGGGAGGGAGGGAGGTGGCCAGGAGGATCCCCTCCCTCCTCCCTTCTCTGGCGCGCCTCGAGTTCGCGCGGCAGGCGAGGCCCCTTCGCCGAAGAAGGTGGCGGTTTCGCCTGCCAAGACCAGCGCTTCGCCGAAGCAGGTGGCGGCCTCGCCTGCGAGGCCCCTTCGCCGAAGGTGGCGGCCCTTTGCCGGAACACACCCTCTCCCGCTGCCTCTGAGGTCCCCTTCGGGGGTGGCGGTCTTTTTATGCCGTGGACGTGGCAGAAAGAAAGCCAGGAGGAGGAGGAGGAGGAGGAGGAGGAGGAACATCCCGGTGTTGGTCCATTTGGGTGTTCTTGCAGGGCCCCTGGGGGCCTCCAGGGAATGCGGACGCCTGCCAAGATCATGTTTCAAGTTTGTGTTTTTTGGGGCGCCACCGTGGGGCTCAATCCATGTGTATACAACAAGCGCTGCGCGTGCATGGGGTCAGGAGTGCTTCACTTAAAATAAGTGTGTGTGTGTTGGGTGGTGGGGGTATGTCATGAAAGTGATGAACAGTCGGGTACGTGAAAAGGGTAGAGAGGCCCTCCTCTTTCGATTCCTCTTCCTCCCAGATCCTCTAACCCTCCCCCTCCTCATCGCCCCATCGCTCTCGTTTCTCTTCTCGATCTCGCCAAGCTTCTGGTGGGCCAGACGTGTTGACTAATGTTTCCTTACTGTTCAGGTCAATCCGAGTCAGTGCAGCGATCAATGCAGATTGGACGCGACGCGAGTGTCACCGATTGTTCAGTTTCACTCGACATCGTCAGCAGCTCAGTCACAAGATATGCATGCCTTTCACGTGTATCATTATTGATGGTGGGGTCAGTCGACTTGTTCAGCCTTCGCGGCCGCTGCTGCATGGTGTATGCGAACATCACAGACGATAACTCAGGGAGACTGCCTCGGATTACCTGGATTGTCCAAATTGTACCTGTCGTTGTCTGATCATGTTCAGTTCAACTATGTTCATTGCTCTGCGCGGAGTTTTCGAGATACGGCATCATCTTTTCGAGCGCTACGTTCAGAGAAAGTCATCGCTAATTTCCCGTTGGTTTTAGGTTCCACGTGTCTGTTCTGATTGTTTTGATGGACTCACAGAGTTCAGCCTGGTCATCAAACTGGCATGGGCCTATCCCCAAGTCCACCCACATCCTTGCAGAGCTCCACGCGTAATTTCGGGCACCAGTGAAAAAGGGTGGTTGGGATATCATTGCTCCTCTTTGCTGAGGATTATGAAAGTATGAGGTGCTGTACCGTTTCGACGAACGGTTCAAACATCACGCGGCTTCGACAGTATTTCATTGTTTTCATGCAACTGGAGCAAATGTTTGATCTTGTGTCGATAGCGGGCGTTATCAGGGAGAGTGGCCCAGTAACATCACGATTTGCGCCCGCCGCCGACAAAGAAACCGACGAAGGCGACGACGCCCGCTAATGAAGCTGACGGCCACGTCGACGACCACGATGACCGACGACGACGACGACAACGACGGTTACCATGACCGACGACGTCGGCCGTCGTCGTCTCAAGGCCTCCAGAGGTACGTAGCTAGAGGTATCTCCATGTTGTTATGGCCCATGCAGAAACGAATTGTCCTGCAAAGGTGTGCCTCGCCATGCTTCACTCACCTCGTCGATGCATACCACAAACGCAGGCATTACTTCATGGCGGCCGTGTTTCAGCCGGTCCGCTCGCCCGCCCGCGAGTTGTGTAAGAACCGCGCTCTCCTCACTCTTCTTCTCCCTCTCCGCCTTCATCTCGGTAGGTTCGTTCCGTCCTGGCGCAGCGGCAGCACGGGCCTTGGCGTTCAAGATTGATGGTCCCCCTGGTGGCCATACGGGGAACCCCGACAGCCGAGATCGTCCGATTCGGATCGGCTCAAGCGGTGGCTGAGACCAGAACATGCGCCGTCATGGCAGGATCTTTCCATCCCCATCCACCCTCATCCTCAGACCTCCGATAACTCGGTTTGTCGGGTCAGTGGCCATTGGAGCTCTCGACCCCTTCCTCGGGTGCGGCTTCATCCTGCAGCGATTCGTTGAAGGCTCCAGGGGGCCGAAACCTGCGAACATTATGGCGCGATCTTTTCAATCCGCTGGAGGTCTGGGTCCCCATCCACACTCATCTGTGCCCTCATCATCCCCCCTCCACGCCGACGCCACGCGAGGTGCGAGCAGCCCCCCATCGACAGCGCTCGACACGACGACCGCGTCTGCGCGGGGGGGATGGGGAAAGGGAGGGGAGAATTGGAGAGGGAGAGAGTGATAGAGAGAGAGAGAGAGAGAAAGAGAGAGAGAGAGAGAAAGAGACAGAGGGAGAGGATGAGCAGGCGGAAATGAGGAGCGGGAAGGGAGGAAGAGAGGAGGAGCAGTGGGAGGCAGGGGGGATGAGGAACAAGGGGAGGAGGGGAAGGTGGGGTGGGGATGTCAACAGGCGTTGGGGCTCTGGGCCGTGGACCCTCTTCTGCGTACCCGTGCGCCTTTTAAGTCGGGCCTAGACGCGCCCAAATTGCGGCCCATAAAGAGCGTCTGGCGGCAGCTGGTGTGTTTGGTGACATTCAGAATCTGACGGCCTCGCAAGACCTTGGCTGTTTTGGGAAAGGGGAGCCTTTTGGCTCTCGAGGCATCCTCGTGATCCGAGCCGTTGAACCGCCCCTTCTTCCGGATTCGCATTCTGCTCGCTGAACGGTGTGGTCACTGTGCCGTCTCGGGATCCCCGATCGAACGAATGAAGTAAACAACAAGCGTTCGGAGTAGGTGCGAGCGCGAGCCCTAGTGCAAGTGGTGGGAGCGATTGACGAGTGCTGGCCGATGGGACTGAATCGAATTTTTGGCGTGAACTTTCGTGAGATGTGCACGGCACGGGCTCTGTGGTGAGCGGTGAGCGGTGCGTGTGGGTGGGGGTGTGAGGAGTGAGTATATTTGTGAAGCGGATGGATGGTTGGTCTGCCGAACAATCGAAGATTGTACCAGCGCGCGGGCTCCGATGCGCGCAGGGTAGCCGGAGTTGGGACAGCAGGTCGGTGACAACTCTCATTTTGCGAGGCGGGGGCATTGGGGACCCAGGTTACTCGATGGTTGTAGGGCTGGCTGGAGGGATTGGCTTGAACCGACCGCGTTTTCCAAAAAATGCCCGGAAAGTTCTGGGAATCCGGCTGTCTTGGAGTTGTTTTTTGCAAAAAATATGTGTTCATCGTTTCCGTTGTATCATATGTGCGCGGAATGCATTCTTACGAAAGCGAGCAAGGAGATTTCTCATTGGAAGTTACTTTTTTGTCATTTCCCATCAATGTGTTTCTAATCATCAGTGGGTCATATTAAACCGCTTGGAGATATGAATTTCAATTGTGCAGAGAAGCGCTTTTCGAGAAACAGCGATGTTGTATTCGTGAATATTTACACAACGATTTGAAGTCAAGTGCAAACCAACAACATGTTACTTGATTTAAAATGTATCACCAGCTGCCTGCAAACATTTTCTGAGGCACGTCCGTATACCATTAAAGTCAAACTGTGCATCATTGCTCAAATTTTGTATGTGTGGATTTCTGTTGTGGCTTTGTAGCGGTTGTATTTCTTCACAGAAGCATATTCACGAACATGTGGGAATTTGCTGCACAACGATCTGATTCGTGTATATATACACATATACATATTGGCTCAATGTGCTTCGACCTCAAGTGGCGCGCCAGGGGTGCTGCCATCGCGCGAGCCCGCGCAGGAGCACTTCGCCTACATCGTGGACCTCGCCCTCTTCTGCGAAAGCCCTCACCGGCACGATCGGCCGCCGGAGGTGTTGGTCGTTTCGCGTCGGGAGCCCCAGTGGCCTTCTGCTGTGCGCGGACTCGGGCCCTGCCTGCCCTGGTTGCTGGGTGCTCTTCAGCAGTCGGCGTGGGCAGCTGGCTCTTGCTGGCCCTGACATCGCGCGGTGACCTGCAGCATCTCGCTCGTAGTGGCTCTCCAGGTCCTGCGCTGTGTGGTGGTTCCCTTGGCCCCCTTCGCAGCGGGACGTTGGGGCTGGCAAGGCCGTGGAGTACGAGCGAGGCACCCTGAAAGATGCACCAGAGGTCCCCAATCTCCCAGTAAGGCTGCAGCAGGTCCCCAAGCTTAGACGTATGGAGGGTGTTGGTTGATACGATACGGGCCAGCCTTTCCCCGAGCACATATTCAGTACCAATGCCTTGCGATGTAATAGTTACGGTCAGGGGGGTTCGTTTAGCGCGCATGGTCGTCCCGCCGGGCCCGGGGGAGGAGGTGCACGCTAAACAAAAAATCGATGCAGGTACACGCTAAACAAAAAAAAACGGAGATCACCACGCTAAACGTCGAGGGCAGGGTGTCACGTACACGCTAAACGCTCTATTGCCGAAATCTCGCCAACGGGGCGTGCTCTTACTTTTACCCGCCTTTCCACTCCTCCAATCAGAGGCAGGAGGAAACAGGAGGAACGGAGGAGGGGGAGGAGGAGGAAATTGAGGAGGAGGAGGAGGAAAATGAGGAGGACGATGATGATGATGATGATGATGATGATGATGATGATGATGATGATGATGATGATGATGATGATGATGATGATGATGATGGTGGTGGTGATGATGATGATGATGATGGTGGTGGTGATGGTGATGATGATGATGATGATGATGATGATGATGATGATGATGATGATGATGATGATGGTGGTGGTGGTGGTGGTGATGATGATGATGATGATGATGATGAGGAGGAGGAGGAGGAGGAGGAGGAGGATTGGTCGACACGATGCTCCCGTACGCCTGGAGAAATGCATTTACCTAGGTGCATCTCCTTTCGGATTTGCAGGACCGGCTTCATCTCCTCCCATATCCCCCTCTCTCGGGCTTCTGCCCGTTGTCCCCCATCCCACCCCTTCTCCCTCCCTCCACCCTTTCTCCTTTCTTCTCTCCACCCTCCACCCTCCACCCCTCCCACCCTCCACCCTTTCCCCCTTTCCCTCCTCGCCTGCGTTCCCCCCGTCTACATACCTGGAGGGTGTCCCGTGGGGCCGCCCTGGGCCTCTCTAAAAGCTTTCTTTAGTCATTTCGAGCGCTCCTGGTGCTCTTTCGGGCTGGCCTCCCTGAAGGCCCTCTTGGGCAATCTTGGGCGCTTTGGGGACCATTGCGGTCCGTTTGGGGCAGCAATTGGTGCCATCCTGGGCTGTGGTGGCGGCCTCTTGGGTTTTCTTGGAGCTCCCATGGGCCGTCCTGGGCCTCTCTGGAAGGCCTGTTGGGCCTTGTCCGGGGTGTTCGGGGCCCTCCTGGGCCTTTCTGGGCTGCTCCTGGACCCACCCTGGGCTGTCTTACGTGCAACTCTTTTGAGGCCCTCTTGGCGTCACTTCTTGGAGCCCTGAGCCGCCCTGGCCCCCGCCCCCTGCTGGAACCAGGGTCCGTATAGCGTGTACCTGCCCCCCGCCCGTCCTGCCCCCCCTGGGATCGCGCTGGGCCTCCCTGAAAGCCCTCTGGGGCAATCTTGGACGCTTTGGTGGCCAGCTTACGCATAATAACTCACAATAGGATGGAGGTCCTGAGGGGTCTCGGGGAACATTTGGAACCGTCTTGTGGCCATCTTGGAGCCTTTTAGAGGCATGATGGATGTCGTCTTGAGCGATCTTGCGCTATCAGGAGCCATCTTGGAGGCCATCCTGCAGCATCGGAGGCTGTTTTGGAGCCATCTTGGGCCGTCTTGGACGCTCTAACCCCTCGCAGACTTTCCCAAAAATGGGCAGGTCGGACTTTATGGGGCCGTTCTGACGTCACCTCCTGGAGCCCTGAGCCGTCCTGCCCCCCTGCTGGAGCCGAGGCCCGTGTAGCGTGTATCTGCCCCCCGCCCTTCCCGCCCCCCCTGGAGTCGCTCTGGATCTTCCTGGAGACCCTCTTGGGCAATCTTGGATGCTTTCGGGGGCCATTTTGGCAGTTTTGGGCAGCAATCGGGGCCATCCTGGACTGTCTGGGAGGCTTTGGGGGCCCTCTTGGAGCTCCCTCGGGCCGTCCTGGGCCTCTCTGGAAGCCCTGTTGGCCATTCTTCGGGGTGCTCGAGGCTCCCTCCTGGGCCGTCCTGGGCTGCTTCCACCCTGGGCTGTCTGACAAATCTACGGGGCCCTCTTGACGTCACCTCTTGGAGCCCTCAGCCGTCCTCCCCCCCTGCTGGAGCCGGGGCCCTCGTGGGCAACCTGCGGCGCTTTGGGTGGCATTTCGGCCCGTTTTGGGCAGCAATGTTGTCTTGGCAGCCTTCTGGGCCTTCTTGGAGCTACCCTGGGCCGTCCTGGGCGGGAGCCGGGACCCGTATAGCGTGTACCTGCCCCCCGCCCTCCCCGCCGCCCCTGGAGTCGCGCTGGGCGTTCCTGACGGCGGCCTTCTTGGGCAATCTTGGACGCTGTGGGAGCCATTTTGGTAGTTTTGGACAGCAATCGGGGCCATCCTGGATTGTCTGGGCGGCTTTTTGGGCCGTCTTGGAGTTCCCTTGGACCGTCCTGGGCCTCTCTGGAAGGCCTGTTGGGCATTCTTTGGGGTGCTCGAGGCCCTCCTGGGCCGTCCTGGGCTGCTCCTGGACCCACCCTTGGTTGTCTTACAAATCTATTGTGCCCTCTTGACGTCACCTCTTGGAGCCCTCAGCCGTACTCCCCCCCTGCTGGAGCCGGGGCCCTCGTGGGCAATCTTCGGCGCCTTGGGGGCCATTTCGGCATGTTTTGGGCAGCAATCGGGGCCATCCAGGGCTGTCTGGGTAGCCTTCTGAGCCTTCTTGGAGCTCCCCTGGGCCGTCCTGGGCGGGAGCCGGGGCCCGTATAGCGTGTACCTGCCCCCCGCCCGTCCCGCCCCCCTGGAGTCGCGCTGGGCGTTCCTGATGGCCTTCTTGGGCAATCTTGGACGCTTTGGGCAGCAATCGGGGCAAACCTGGATTATCTGGGCGGCTTTTTTGGGCCCTCTAGGAGCTCCCTTGGGCCGTCCTGGGCCTCTCTGGAAGGCCTGTTGGACCTTGTTTGGGGTGCTCGAGGCTCTCCTTGGCCGTCCTGGGCTGCTTCTGGACCTGCCCTGGGCTGTCTTACAAATCGCCCTCTTGACGTCACATATTGAAGCCCTCAGCCGTCCTCCCCCCCTGCTGGAGTCGGGGCCCTCGTGGTCAATTTTCGGCGTTTTGGGTGGCATTTCGGCCCGTTTTGGGCAGCAATCGGGGCCATCTAGGGCTGTCTG